TCGGGCCGTGTCAAGCGTGATGGCACGAGCAAACGACAGCGCAGGCGCCGCCGGCAACAGCAGCGAGAAAAAGAAGAAAAGAGGGGCTTTCGCACTCATTTTCGGATGTGGGCGCCGACTCCACCGCCTCCCCCCGGCAGCACTTTCGCCCCCACCTCTACAGAGACCGAAAGCAAGGAGGGACAGTTTGAGGACGGGGCGGTTGTGTTCGAGGTTGAGGGAGGTCGAGACGACGGTGACGAGCTCTGCAATTGGTTTGGACAAGATGCCATGGAGCAGGTGGATGTGTGTCTGGACGCGTGCAGTTCCGCGTCTGAGGGGCTCATCTTTGGGGGATACGCTGGCGACTCGGCTGACTGCACGTCGTCAGAAGAGTCTAACATGGAGTGGAGCGACGTGGAGCAGACGTTGGAGCAGACGCCGAAGCAGCCGTCGCAGGGAGCGTTGCAGAATCCCGATCGGTGCGCAGATCGAGATTCCGCCGCACAGCGGAAATCATGCCGCATCCAGCCGGCGGCTACTGCCGCGGCGCGGGCGCGGAAACCGCGGCCAAAGGGCTTGCCAGCTGGCCCAGGAAGAGGAAAGAAGGAGAAGCAATGTAACCCCAAGCGCAGGAGAGTGTCTCGCAAGGAGCAACGAAGGCGGGAGAGAAGGTCGAAGAAATCCGGGAGACGGCGCGCAGTGCGGGAAGCGGCGCGTTTAAAGTTGTAGCAAGAGCGGCTAGAGATATTCGAACAGGCGAAGGGTATTCTTTTCCGGTGAGCAGCGTGATGAGTAGACACAACAATGGTGTTCATGACTACTGCTGTGTGGACTTTGCAGCTGTGATGTTGCCGCATCTGCTTTCATTTGTGGCAAGGGTGAAAAAATATCCCCAGCTTTGCCGACTCTCTCGTGTGTGAGTGTGTGTGTGAAGGCAGGGGCCTGTTTTGTGTCGTTTTGTGTGTAGTGACAGCAGGTGGTGCGTGCTTTCATGTGATCACAGCCCCATGAAGATATGCCTAGATAAAAACATGGGTGGTTGCGTTTTTTAAGTTGAAAATTCACGCACATGTTCAAATTGGTGGGGCTGCTGCTGCTGTGCGTCACGTAAAGTTCTGTCGGTAAATATTCGCCTTGACATGACAGCCCCCTCCCTGTACTGATTTGATCAGGCGGTCCGACACTTCCGGTTGGAAAACATCGTGGAGAACCCGGACGAGGCGCTAGCAACCGACAACAAGAAGGGGTACGCCATGAGACAGGCGTCCGCCATCTTGACCTTCGTGTCGCTAGAGTAAGTTATGTTTTTCGCGTGTGTGATGGATGCGTGCTACAGCAGTGGGTACGCAAACAGTTTACAACCCGCTAAATTCCACGTTGTCGAATACGCATCCCCTGAATTAGTCACGACTACCTTGTCAAATGTGTTTGCGTTTGGCGGACCAGGATTGCTGATGGACTTCACCCCATCAAGCACAGCGAGGTTGCGGCGCTTCCGGTCGGCGTGACCGGTAAAGTGGTTCGGGCGTGGGTGCGTGATTTTGTCAACGGCAAGAGGTTCAAGGTTCGCGTGCGGGACTACGCTGCTCGCAACCTGCTCTCGGTAATCAACGACGAGGACTTTCGCGAAGAGTCGCGCGAGTGGCTGGACGCCAAGATATACGGCCGCAAGGAGGGGGAGCCGCAGCTACGTGTTCGGGACTTGCAGAAGTGAGTATGGAATGTAAACAACGTCATGGTTAGGATTCTATTTCAGAGTTTGTCGGTTGGCGATTAGCGATGCATGCTGGTGTCGAAACATTCCCACGATATGCAATAGATGTTTACATCCCAGGTCGTTGAAAGATATGCAGAAGAACCGTGTGTCGATTGTTGCACAGCAACTTATGTTGCACCATTATTTTTGATCAAAATCGCAGGCATCTCAACGACACCGCGCTCAAGCCTTACATGGAAGAGGGTGCGCGGGGAATCTCCTTCGACACGGTGCACAGATGGCTGCAGGACTTGGGCTTCCGTTGGCGGCGACACCGAAAGTGTGTCTACGCAGACGGTCACAACCGCCCCGACAACATCAGGAGGAGGATGGGTTACGTGACGGAGATGCAGGAGCACCAGAAGCGTACAGTCAAGTGCGTATTGAATTTGTGGTGTGATTGGGTCTGCAATGTTTCCGATTTCGTGTAAGGTTTCCACCGTGGAACCGACAACTTACTTTTTTTTCAAGTTTAGATGTCGTTCAAGTTTGAGCATTTACGCGAACATACAACCTTGCGCAGGGACCTCTTGTTTAGTCTCTCGTCCCGCCACCTTGACCTGCAGGCTCGCAAAGATCGGTGAGGGCCCGGAAGCCGAGGAGGTTGCTCTTTGGCCTGCGGTGTTCGAGAGTGCGGGGGGCGATCCTCTGGGGGAAGGGAGCACATGGATGCACGTTCAGCTCGAAGGCGAGTGCGGCTGGGAGAAGCAGCATAACCTCAGGACGAGCGGAAAGCTCGAAGAGCTTCCGGTCGACGAGAGACTCGAGCTGTGGTGCACGGAGCGGCAGCGTGTTCCAGCCCAACCGCTGCCGCCCGGGTTTCGCTTGCTGGAACCGAGGGAGGTGATGGAGGTGGTGTACCACGACGAGTGCGCCTACAAGCAGAACGACAGCGGCGGGGCAGCGTGGGAGAACGATGAAAAGGGCGCAGCGATGAGCCCGAAAAACGAGGGCGCCGCTGTCATGGTGTCGGACTTGATCGGCGAGGAACGCGGGCAGCTGGACATCCCCGCTGAGGTGTACGCGATCATGCAGGAACACGGGACAATGCCGAAGGTATGTTGTATAGGAGTATCGTAAATATAGGTTGTATCTGGAGGGCTGACGTGGAATGTGGAGTGTGCCCCTGTTCCCGTCGATGAAAATTTACTAAATGTTTTCAATGCTCCCTCGAGCGAAATACTGAACATGCTGACTCTTGTCCACTCTGTGTTTTTTGTTTGTGGATGCCTGCTCCTATCCCACAGATGGAGATTACGGATGAAGGAGCTACGCTCTCCCGCAGCGACACCTACGTCGGGCGTTGCAAGCCGTGCGAAGAGTACCCCGACGGCATGAAGACGAAGAAGGTGTCTGATGCTGTTCACTCGCTCGAGCGCGTTCTTTCGGAGCTGAACATCGACTGCAAGGAATCTGGGCCCGAGTACAACCTTGCGCGCTCGGCCAGGATCATCCTCCGGGTCGGCAAGAACCTCGACGGATACTGGGATAGCAACCGCTTGTGCGTGCAGCTTGAGGTGAGGAAAGTCAACCTTTAGATATCTACAGAGCAACATTGTGTTTCGAGGTGGGTTCATGGCCCTCAGATTTTCTTCCCACGACCTGGCTTCTACATTCTGTTTCCAAACGAAACTCTGAGCCACGCGTCTCGCCAATACACATTTCCATCGCGCTCACGCTTTCATCGACAGGCCATATTCGCGGCGTTCGAGATCTCGAGGGAACCAGGCCGACAGATGCTCGCAGTCTTTGACAACTCCACCGGGCACAACGCATACAGCCCCGACGCCTTGAGGGCGCAGAACATCCGAGCCTCACCAGGGGGCGAGCAGATCCCCCCCCGCAACTTCGAGTACAACGGCAGAACGATCTACACGACGTTTCGGGAGGGCGACGTGCTGTGCTTCAGATCCAGCCCCTTCGCTCGAAAGACGGAGGCGGAGGCCGTGGGTGAGCTCCATCGTTGATTTAGGGACTTTTTTCTATGTAGACATATATCTATCTACTGCACTGCTGTAGAGAGTTGACGTGATTTTAGGAACTTTTTTTGTGCGAGGCTTAAAAAAAATACACCACGTGATACTCGAGCTTTCCCATCCCATCCAGTTTCGTAGATAGTGGCTATGGGTACGAAACAAATATCGCCTTTTCCCCTTCCTGCTCTTGTCTCCGTCAAACGTATGTAGCCAAGAAACGACACGGGAAAAGGTTGGGAGTGTTCCCGATAGGAACGGTTGTCAAACGGGGGACCAGCTCGGAGAAGCTGATTGGTGTCGCCAAGGGGATGAAGGAGATTCTGGAGGACATGGGGCTGTACAAGCTAGCCAGCGAAACGAAAGCGCCACCGCTGCTGTGCCAAAGGTGGGATCATTGGTTTTCGTTTCTGTTTCAGGGGCTAAAATGCCGGCGTGCCCTCCATGCCTCGTTTGAAGTCGATGAACTATTCGAGGTGTGTTCTTCTTTTTCCCTTGAGCTCTATTCTGCTGCGAGGCACCTGGACTCGCGGTAACCTATATTTACGTTTTCGGCGCCTCTTTTTTGCATGTCTCTGTCCTCTGTTTCTTTTTAAGGTGCAAAGACGAGGCTAAGGCCAAGCGGGACAAGTCAACGATGTACAACAAGGGGGGGGAGAGCCGGCAGCAGGCGCTCGAAGGCGAAGGAGACTCCGATGATTCGGACGAAGACAGCGAGGAAGGTGGTGCTCGCGATGCAGCCAGAACATCGAGAAGATGCTGCTGCCAGCGAATCATCAGCGAGGTCAAGACCTTCAAGGAGCAGATGAATCGGGTCGAGGAGCTGCTCGAAGCTGCTGGGCACGCATGCATTTTCCTCGCCAAGCGAGTGAATTTTTTTGGGGCGGAGATGTGTCTATGGGTAGAATATCTAGATATCTGCAATACGCCCATGTGGTTCGATTCTAATCGTATAATGCTGCTCAGACTCTTGCGCTAAGTTTCCATCTCTGCTCTTGCGGGGTTTCCAGGTACCACCCGGAGCTCAATGCTATCAAGCGTTTCTGGGGCTACACCAAGTCTATCGAGCGCCGTGTCTGCGACTACTCCGTCCTTCGTTTCGGGACAATACGCGGCGTTTCGGGGTAATTTCGGGGTAATTTTCGCCCGCAAACGGCCATTTTCACCAAAAAAAATTGACCCCGGACATCGATGCTTCTCGACCTTGCGGTTCTTCTCAACTTTTTTTTCGCGTGTCAACTCTCAAAAACAAGCGAGAAAAAGTGGGGGTCATGTTGTGGAAAAATTTAACCGGGCGGACTCTACCATGCTCGTATCCAGACACACGAACATTGCGTAGGCATGACCCACAGCGAGGGGGGGGTCTTGCTAGCGAGCAGGGCTAGACTCACCCTCAAGGGACCGATACCTTCTTGCTGCGGCGCACCCGCCGCGAGGCGTGCGTAGTGGTGGAGTTGGGTCGGCACTGGTGCGTCAGGTACGAAGGTGCAGATGCGCGGGCCTCCAGGCCGTCGGTGTAGGCAGCATTGCCCATCTCATCCTTGTGCGCGGAGGCAGACGTCATCAGAAAGGTGGACGAGCACTATGTACACGGCCCTAGGTTTGCTAGAGGGAGCTGTACTGTCTCAGTAACCTGGTTTTTCCATCAAAGGAGGGGGGGATAGGTGATGACGAGCTGATTGGGCTGGTTGACCCTTCGGCGCGAGAACTTTTAGACCAAGGACCTGCAACGAGGGAGAAAGCGAGGAACCGACTGGGATGGACAGCAACGAGAGCGTGCACGAAGCGTAGCGCGTCGAGTTTGGTCGTGCTAGGACTGGCCACAGCGGCACCGGAGCAGCGGCAACGGAGCAGGCAGACGGCATCGAACCGTGCCGCACGTACAAACATCTCTTGTGTGGTCAATTGTTTTTCCGTTATTTTCCTGAAAACGGGTGTTGGGTGTGTGTGACGACGTCACTAGTTTTGTAGAGAAACGCGGCAGAGATGGCGCGGATAACTCCGGTGCTTTCAATTGTGTACCTGCATCGCCGAATACCCCTTCAATATGGAACGATTCCTTATCAGTGTCGATGTTTACACTGCTGTGACTAACACAGATGATCTGGATATATTCGGGTGATTGTCAATTGCAATGATGGCTTTGGTTGAGTGTCCTTCTTCATTGTTATGTCCACGGGCTCATTCTGACAGCACTTCAGACAGCAGCTCCATGCCCCGAGCTTGTGTACCATGCACCATGGTGTTAATATTGTACAGACAGCACTTCAGACAGCAGTACGCTGTAGTCGCCAAACATTCATTTTGGTTAAATGCGGGACAAGGGGGGTGATGCTGCTGCTGTAGTCGATTTGTAGTGTGTGGGCGTGTAGTTCAGTTGTGAGCATGCAAACGTGCTGCAGGGATTGCAGGTGTACCTCCTCGGGCTTGCGTACCCTTTCCTTGCTAATAGTGTGTGTCCTTTAGATCGTCTGATGGCTCTAGCATTGTTGTGACCACGAACTGAGTCTTGGCTAGATTTTGTCCGTGAGGTGGATTATGTCATCCTTACGAACGCTACTGCGGTAGTTTGTTGTTGTTGTTTGTTTTTCTTCACATTAAACTCGTGCCAGTTTCAAGCTTCAAGTACTTTCGGAAGACCGAAGCATGGTTCGGAACTGCAGAACATTCTTGAAAAAACTTGGATGCATGCATACCTTTTGTATCATATTATCATCACTTCAAATATAAATCAGCGTTCACACTTCACAGCACTTCTGCCGGGTAGAATCCATCCGTGAACACACAGAAGAACGGGTCCTCTCCCTCCACCCCTTCCTGCGGTGCTTGCGATCGATCTTGATGCGAGAAGAGTGGAGCACCCTCTTCCCTCGGAGTGCTGACCCGAACTACAGTACGCTTCCATACCAGGAACGTAAAGCGAGAGAACAATCTCACTTTGCAAGAAAAACTCACGCCGGAATGCGAATCCCTGACCTGACAACAGTAGAAAGTTACGAGGATACCAAGTAGACTAACGCTTCCAGCACCATGGACATCAAGCGAGAGAGAAAAACAGTTTGAAACAAAAAACTCGCTTCCGCCGGGATCTGAACCTCTGACCCTGGCCGCGGTAGAAGGTGGCGACAACACAAGTAGACTACTGGGGGGGCATCATGTTTACCCAATTGTTCCAGCCTCAACGCAAACAATAGTTCACTTTTTGCGGTACCAGGTCACACAGACAATACGGTCGTGCTGCCGACCCTTCGTACAGCAACAGCAGCAGTGCATTAACGCCGTTGCAGTAGAGGAACTCGCGAATACAACGACCTCGTGCATCTGTGCATGCACTCATAGCCTTCATCAATCCATTCGCTCTTACATTCCCTCATCGGTTCCTCTCTCAGGCTTCTCCATACTTAGGCTCTGCTTCATTGTGTGTTTTCATTCCCTCATGCCAAGAGACGGTCGGCGTGCATGCTCACGTGATCCTCGATGAAGGTGCTGATGAAAAAGTAGCTGTGGTCATACCCGTCCTGCCGCAAAGCAACGACCGAAACAGCATATCGGTCGACACGGACGGGTGGAGAGAAGGGGAGCGGAGGGCAGGAGCGGCGGCAAAGAACACGAGGAGAGAGAGAGTTTCTTCGCCTCATGCAATATGGCAAATGGAGGGTGCCAGACCTCGTGATCCTAGCAAGCTCTGAAATAAAGCATCTGCGTGGCACGGTTTGGTGTGTCATTTTGCGTGTTGATTCTGTGTTCATGACTCGGTCTACCTCCCGCACCCATGAAAAAATATATCAAGACACCACCACAAAAGACATGTTTGTCTTGTTTGTGTTAAGGCTGGGGTAAAGATTAAATATTCAAAACCTCTTGCCAGATATGGGGTGGACAGGCACGGCGAATAGCACACCCATCCTAGTAGAGGCCTTGCCCCGCAGTTCGACAGGCTGCAACAAACCCGAACCCGTCCACCCTCGCAAACGGTAGGGCTTTCGTGTCTGGTGTAATGCTGCCTGCTAAGCGGCCCACAGACAGCCAAGACCGACACTCGACGAGGTAATCGCACTTGATGACAAAGCTGCTCCAGGCCCCTTACTCCCAAGACATTGATCGCACACAATATGATGTAGGCAAGGGGAACAAATGACGCAGCCCCTGTCCAAAGAGAATGCTTCGAAGTATTTGAACAACACGGCCCTGGCCAATTAAAGCCCTGGCAAAGGAAATTGGCCAACAACCAAAAGGCAGCACTCACTCACGTTTCAAGGAAAGCTGGTGGATGAGGAAGCGACAAAGAGAGAAATGAAATGGAGGGGGGAAACGAAAGACCTCGCCAGAGGCAGAGGGTTCGAAAGTGACCCAGAAGAAACGGTAGCAAACACATATATCTTGGAGGGTCGGGTCTATTCGGCAGAGAGCGGAACAGGAGCGGGTTGGTTGGTGTCGCATCCCCAACAAACAACGACAGTTAATCGGTGAAAAAACAAACTATATACACGCTGCCGCTGCATTTCGGGGGAAACTAACGCCACCCTTCCGAAGCGAACACGAGCTATCACTGTCGTGTTTGCAGTCTATTTCATTACTCCGGATTGGCTGCTTCTGTCGTAGTGCCCATTATGTACCTGCATCCGCATCTCACACGGCTGTCCCTTGTCTTCGCAGGCTTTCACCAAGGCCTCGGGGAGGAGCTGGCCGGCTGCTCGGGTAAAACAAAAAGCAAAGAGGCACACAGAGGAGAACAAATGTAATTTCTCTCAACGTGTGGTAAGGTGTTTGTCCTCTACGGCATATTGACTTCGTGCTTGGCTGCGCCTTGCAATTGTTGGCCTGGTTTAGCACGAAATATTCGCGAACACTACAGAGAGCGTACACGAGATAGGATCAGTAGCCCCTCCGCTTAAGAGCCACAGGGCCACACGTTTGTCCGACGACGACATATTTAATAGGAGATCGACCTATCGCCACGCGGCCAACAACAGCAACACCGACAAAAATACATTTGCAAGCAAGACTTGTCGATTCGGGCGAGCACGGCCACCTGTGAGGAAGTTATCTGCGGATCCTTGGTCGAGAAGGATCTTGCCGAGGCTCGGGAAGGGGCCATCCCGGAGCATCAGCTCCGTCGCATCGTACTCCTGTCGAAGAGCAGAGATACGATGAAAACAATGATCGATGAATTGAATCTCTCCACAGCAGAAACTTCGCGGAACTCTTTGGATTGGGATACATGCTGATTTGATACATTCCCAACCTCGAAATTATGGACCGCGTAGAGAAGCGTAGGGGAATGTGCTAGACACCAAGCCACGGTCGGGCAGCCAGTTCTTGAACGTGAAACCAGAACATCGGCTGGCCAGGTCAACAAGGGCAGGGGAGGAGCCTTTCGCCGACCCGCAAGCCCGTTCAACCGCAACGGTTCTCGAGGGGGCGCCGCGGAATGTGAATCGGTGTGGTTACTCCGGGGAAAGTGAAGCGAGCGACAGCTCAGAACTAGGTGACATACTTCGCCCCCATCAGTCACAGGAAGCCATTGTTGTCCTTCCAAGCATGTTCGTACTTCGATGGTCTCCTCGCTACTGCTGTGAGCGCGCTACGAGCATACTGTTCTGCTACCTCTCGCTGAACGGCAGTGCGTTTATTGGGCGTCACGGATGCTTGGGCAGTTCATGCCGTGTTATCCCATTCCTAGGTTGTCCATGCACAGACAGGCACTCCTATTGCACCGTAGATAAGACCTGTGACCTTCAACCACGTGCCTTGGAACCGCTTCTTTGAGCTGGCAATCTCAGCCGCCCATGGTGACTCTGGTGTCTTGCCCTTCGTCAAACCAGCGAAAATGGCTTGTGCGAACCAATACTGACACCAGAATCTTGAAAGTGGTCTTGGAAGGCTAGCAGGTGTTGCGTCTGCGTCTCACCTCGGTTACCTTCGCACGAAACAAGCTTCTAAATTATGGTTTGTTCCTCCTCTTCTCTGCACTGTTCAAGACTAAGACACGAACTTCATTGGTCACAAAGAAATCTCCCAACAAGTTACGGACAACAAGAAACGATGAAACGATGAAATGACAGCAGCAAAGCAACAGAAAATACCGACAGCTGTGCCCGCTCCATCCCTCGCACCTTCCACGCGGCCTCGTCCTTGCCGAGGTACCCGGAGAAGGCCTTCTTGCCCCAGGGGCACTCGACTGGGTTGCAGATCGCCGAAAAGGCCGACACGCTGCGATACTTGTCGGGGTTTCTGACGAAGCGAAAAGAGGAGTCACGGGTTCGACGAAACACACGCGCGAGGTAGGGAACCATTCAAGGGACCGATAGCACAAAAAAACGAACATCAGCACGTTTAACTTCGCAGCAACAAAGTGATACACCGGTATTTGCTTGCACCGGAGCGCACAGAGATGAAAAAATAAAAATAAAATAGACACAAAGGCGATATCCAGGGCGCCAAACCTTGAGCCCCGACACTACCCCAGAAAGAAACCATAACAAAAAATGAACATCATCTTGTTCAGTTGGAAAATCTTCACGACAAGCGACGGGGTGGCACGCGAGCCGCACACGGAGCGGGGACACATCTTGTCGTCGTTTCCTTCCGAACCAGCACCCCCGCTCCTCTGTTTTGTTCCTTCTCACCGGAACGCCACTACTAGGGCGCCGTGGCCGCCCATCGAGTGGCCGCACACGGAGGCTTTGGACGTGTCCACCGCCGGGAAGCTGGCGGCGACGACCGCCGGGAGCTCTTCCGTCACGTACGCGTACATGCGGTACTGTCATTATGAGGCGGCGCCAATCACCGACAGAGTCGTTGGGTGGGGATGCATCATCACGTAGAGCAGACTTTGTGGCGTCACACCAGCAGGACGAGGCGCCATGATTTTTGGCGGGACGGCTGAGGGAGCACAACCAACACCAACGATGCCAGGAACATTAAACAACCATGCGTCTCCTCAATCTCCTGCCGTTGAGTGTGAACTCCCAACGTCCTGCCCGTCCCGGCTTCCCCATAAGCGTCTACTCTACGAGACAGCAGCCCCGAGGAAAATCCTCGTGTCACTCGCGTTTTCTTTCCAGTCCGCTTCCGTCGCGTCCACGTAGAACCCAGCCCCTGTGCCGAAGTCCCAGCCTTCGTCCTGCAAGCGAGGGAGCACGAACAGCCAGCCGAACGAAGTGTTTCGCGCTCCGCATTCGCACCATGCCATAGGTGTGACCGCAACAACACGCAACGCAATCGCGCGCTCAGACTGGAGTTTCGTGATGGGCCCTTTCCCGCCTCGCGATCCGTTTGGTGTTGGAACTTTTGTTAGGGCCTCGTTTGGATCTAAGAACGACAATCAGCAGAGACCAGTTCTACCACAATACAACCCACCGTCGGGCGACGCCGAGAAAAGCCTCAAACGTACTTGCCTTAGCAACACCACTAAGCGTAAAAAGTCAATCACCCAAGGAGATCCTGCTGCGGACAGGCAGCTATCAGACGAGGGTATATACTCAGCAGATCGGCTCAACCCGAAGCACCGCCGAACATACCTCTCCGGCAAGTTGAGGCTCCCCGGCCTAGGTTTTCAATCACGAGCCGAAACACAGGAAACACACTCGGACCGTCATACTTTGGCGGGGGGGGCAGCCGAAAGCTGGAAAGCTTTCTAAATTTCGGTTCCAGCCGACACCAATGCCTTCTGCGCGGTAGATCCAAGCGTAGAAAATCACACATCAGGTATACACTCCTACGATTGCTACCGCGCGGCAGAAAGCAGGGTCCACGCCAACTGGAGTTGGGCGCACCTCTCCAGCAACTCCGGCACCCCGCGGGCTCGTGTCCGGGGCGACGAGTGCTACCCCCCTGAGGGCTGCGATCCGCTGTGCCCCAGCCTTTTGGATGAAGTTGTCGTCGGTGCAGGTAAGACCGCTAAGGTAGTAGAGCACCTGCGCGTTATTATTGGCGGTGATTTTGTATACTCACGAAAGGAACATTATGGCCTCCGTAACCTATTGTGCATGCGCTATTCGTACTAAAATACCCGTCTATCCGGCAAAAACGGCCTCTTCCGTACTGACGGGTCAAACACCCAATGACTCACCCGTTGCTGAGAACAAAGTACGTGGAAAGGGCCGGGAAGATTACACGCGTCTTCTTGTTGGGGCCACGAAAAACTAGCAACGAAACGGTGGGTGAAAGAAAATACAGTTTTGGGCCGGCAGCGACAACGACGGTTTACGCTAAAATTGCAAGGGCCGAACTAGAGTTTTTTTGACAGAGGCGAGTACAACAACAGCGCACGCCTGCCTGCGGTAGTACAGGAGTGCCGGGCTTGTGGATGAATGAGCCTATTGTCTGAACAGGCACCTGGGAGGCGGTCTACGAGCAAGTCACGTTTCTGTATGCAGGGGAATGGGATGCCGCAAACCTACCTACCTATCGGTGATCATCAGCCGAGCTGTGCATGTACAAGTGTACCGGCATGGGAGAGCGTGACCCATTCCAGTGAAACGACGTACTTTTCTATAGTTATTAGCACGTTACGACAGGGACGACAGGGACGGATTTCCTCCCTTCCGCACATGACCACTTAGACTCTGTACTACGGGTACTACCGATGAACTGCTGTAGCAAGTCGTCAGAGTCCACACCGGGTACAATATTTTTTTTTCTTTTTCTCCCATCATTGGACTCTTCCCCCCGGTGTTTGCCATCGGGGTTGGGTTTTCGTCGCTTGGCAACGACATTGTAAAACAAGCCGCCGCCCCCCCCGGTGTTTGCCATCGGGGTTGGGTTTTCGTCGCTTGGCAACGACATTGTAAAACAAGCCGCCGCCCCCCCCGGTGTTTGCCATCGGGGTTGGGTTTTCGTCGCTTGGCAACGACGTTGTAAAACAAGCCAATTCACTTCGTGAACTCGGCAACCAGGCTACCGGGGGTTT